GGACTCAGCAGGATGGACAGGATTAGAAATGAGTCCATCAGAGGGACAGCTCAGAGTCAGAGAGGCTGAGAGGGTTTGGACATGTGCAGAGGAGGAGGGATGCTGAGGATGCCAGGCAGGAGGAGAAGAGGAAGACCACAGAGAAGATTCATGGATGCAGCAAAGGAGAAGATGCAGAGGGTTGGTGTGACAGAGGAGGATGTGCGACCCCTGAGGGACTGCAAAATGAAGCTGATGCTAAAGTACAGTTTATACAAGCTTTCTGGAGTTTTTGAATCCAAAGATCTCCCTTGCTGTGTGCTCTTCATCAGTATTTAATTAGTGTGTTGCTTGGCACCAATTAGCAGGTGTCTGTTTGTGTCGGACATCCATATGAACTGTTAGAGCGCCACCTCTCATTCAGATATGGTAACGTTCAAAAAACCAACATGGAGTCCAAAATCAGTGGGTGACATTTACATAAGTGATGTCAAAACATGACAAACATGCACCGGTGCAAACTAAAGAGCAGGTAATGGTGACTGACTGCTCTCTGGTTTTTGTTAAATAAACCTTTTTTTGTGTTTTTGTTTTAAAAAGCGTATATTGTTGTTAAGAGGCTTCACTCATGCAGAGGGAAATAAAGTGTTGAGCAGCTCTCCCGTTTCCATTAGATGGAGGGAAAATGCTGAGCAGTACAGCAGCCATGAATCACGGCTGAGTGTTTGAGGCGAGCTATTGTCCTCGGGCTCATAACTCCTCGACTGGAAACCCACAGGCATTAAGCAAGACGACTTCTGTACCCAGGGAGAAACAAAAAAGCAAAGGCCGAGCCATTTGGAGTACACAAAGATCTTTTTTCTAAGGCAAAGTAAAAATGATTTAAGACTCTGTTGTTTCCTCTGGTAATCAGTATCGTTCTACACCGACGGCTTCATCCAAATTGGGTTTCTTATAGACGAGTGGCAAGAGGCGCATTTCACTTCTGCTAGGATTGGGCAATAAAACAACAACAGCCCCCTAAATAAAAAAAAATACAGCTTCCCTTTTAAAAGAGAGAATTTTCAGGCTTTAAGCTTTAAATATTCTACAGTCAAGTGATTTTTACTGGGAGTGAAATGAAGACAGTCACCGGATCTATAAAGAAGGTCCAAATGTCCGTGTGGTGATAAACTCAAATAAGGAAGACGTCAGTCGTGTTTAAAGGTTACAAACCTCTAAAGTCAGACTGTCGTTCTCATTCTCGAGTCAAATGACTGCACAGGACACTTTAATCTTCATAGCAGCGCTATAAGATGTGGTAAAGCTGTTTTCTCTGCATTTGGCATCATAGTTACAAATTTCACCTGTGTCTGCTCGAGTAGAGCCAAATCCAGGGTTCCTGCATCATGTCAAAAGTCTAAATGGATGCAAATACCCAGAAAAACAGAAAACAGCACAGATTTCTGTGCCAAAACCTGAAGCTACAGTTACACTAAAGGAAAGAGTGGTTGCAGTCATCGCTACGACCAAAATCACTGCAATCGTAATGATCTTGCAGTCTTGTTTCTTTTAAATGGGAGCAGAACACAACAACAACAACACAAAGCTGGTCTGCAGCCTTTCTGTAAAAATAATGCAATAAATGTAACAGGGGGGGAAAAAAATCAGTGAAAAACGCAAATCTGTTGCCATAATCATCTCTGAGGCTACGTCCACATGCACACGGGTATTCTTCTATGCATTCGGGGTTTTCATCCGCACATAAACGTTTTGGGTCATTTAAATGGAGATTTTCCAAAAATTCAGTTTTGGCGTTTAGGTGTGGACAAGGAAAACTGACATTCATGCAACGTCTTCTTCTTCTTCTAAATTTGATTGGCAGACTCGCGCAACGTCGAAGGCGTGTGCCGTTTTTGACACCACGCTTACATGTACACACGCAGCTACTGTCCCTCCATTTAAAAAGACAGCGGCATCAGGGTGAACTTCTACATTCAACACTCACAACCCAAATCCCAACGTCAGTTTTGAATAAATGTATTTTTTTAAATTAAATTGATGCATGCTGTTTGCATTTTGCTCATTCCTGACCTGTGAGTCTGCACAACAGCCAAAATACTGTCTTTAGTTATTAACGTCTGAAATGATGAACGCACTTGAAAACTAACACAAAATTAGCTGCCTGACCAGAAAAACAAAAACCTTCCAGCAGTACTTAAGGTTTTGTGGTGGCACAAACCCTCTTTACCCTTTTCCTCCCAGGCTTCTAGACTTCTGATTGGCCAACATTTAGTTTTTAGTGTTTACATGCGGACAGAGATATTTTTTCAAAACTGCACGAGTGGACGGGATTTAAAAAAAACAAAAACAAAAACACCCGTTCAAGTGTGGACGTAGCGTGACTGCACTCAGAGTCCAGCCTCGCAGAGTCGCTGTAGTACGGTGGTCACGCTGAAAAATGGCACAAACGCCAACCTTGCAATTATATAAGAACAACTAGAATAAAAACAGCTGGTAGCCAGCTGAGTCCACTGAAATTAAAAGCGGTCGCTGAAGGTTGAAGGTATTTCTCAACTCAAACTCAGGCGGACAAACTGCAAAAAAAATTCAACGTAATCACTGAGCAACCACCAATTTTTCCTAGTCGCTAAGCAGTTCCCTCCTGATTTTACTCCATATGACTGAGACATTACTGGCTTTACATTATGCAGACCAAATGTGCAAGGAAGCGAATGCCTCCTCTGACTGCTGTTTTGTCTCTGGTGTCTTTTACTCTCAGTGTTTACTGTAAACATTTTACAACTTTATCGCTGCTTCAACACATCAGAATGAGACCTTAAGCAGACCTAAGAGCTCGAAACATCCCTGCACTGCTTTTAAACACTAAACATTACTTTCACCTTGCTGCAG